GTTGGAAAGGGGTGAAATACATCGGGATTTGGGTTCGACTTCCTATACATTATAACTTTAGGCGCTTTGGTATCAATTACTGGTTTCCACATGAGCATTGCATGCATACTCTGCACGATACGATGCTCTCACATCACCTCCGAGAGGAAAAAGCGTATATCGTAGAGAAGATATGATTTTCAAATGATTTATTCATTCCACCCATTGAGCCTTGTCGGAGTGCTCCTGCGAATTATGATCATATACAAAATGCGTGTGCAAACCCAAAGAACTCCAGCATACAGAAGAACCGCCCAGAGACCCAATCCTCCTCTACAACACTATCGCCAAAATCACCACCGCCAATATGATCGCCAAAATCACCAGCAAACAGCACGCTTTCCCCCTCGCGCTCTTCTGATGTCTACTCGCCGTCCGCAACTGCTGATCCGCGTTCCGCGTATCGTCCCGAGTGTTCATGACATTCACATCGATCGTGTCCAGCATGTTCCCCTGGTCGCTGATCATCGTCGCCACATCCCGGAACAGCTCGTTCAATTCCGACACCGACTGCTCGATGTTTCGAATCTCGCTCTCCCGCTCGACGATCAGCGACTCCTGGAAATCCACCTCCGATTGATCCGCAAGTCGGATCTGATCCTGCTGGAGCAACTGCTGCTGCTGACCCGATCCCCCACCCGAGGCGTCCGCGGTCGGACCGGCCTCCGAATCCAGCGCGGTGCGCGCCGCGCTCGCGCTCGCCTTTTGCTTCTGGAGCGCTTGCTTCTGGATGGCCTGGAATTCATTCAGGCTGGCGCGGAATTCCTGGCCGAGCTTCCCGCTCGTGTATTTCTGGCTCGGGCTCATGTCGTGCCAGCTCTGCACCTTCTTCACGCCCTCACCGATCTCCTTGAAGCCATCGCCGGTTTCCTGGAGGAGGTCCTGCACTCGCTCCCGCACGCGGTCGGTTTCTTTCTTCGTGCCGAGCAGGGCGACTTGGTTGCTCAGCCGGCTGATGTTGGAGGTCAGGCTGAAGAGTTTGTCGGAGAGGCGGGTGGTGTATTCGGTGAATTCGGGGTCGTCTTGGTATTCCGGGTCATCCTGGCGTCGCCATGTTGTGGGTTGCGCTTCGAGGTCCGCTGGTCGGCGGTCGTTGAACGACATGGCTGTCGGGGATGTTCACAGAGTTCTCGTTATATGTTTATCGTGGGTGTGAGGTTCGAAGTTGATGTTGTCGCGAAAGGCGCTGCCTGCTCGCAAAGTCCGGTACGTCAGGTGTCGCTTGCTGTGGCTTGGCTCTGGCCGACTCTCCCGCGTGGTCGTCGCGTGTGGCGTCATGATACGTCGTGCTGAGATAAGCGGAACTCACGCTGGAGACATGTGAAGTCGCGCATGACTCGCGCGTCGGCTGCACTGGCAACGGGCGCGTCTTCGTCTGGAGGTGATAATAATTCGAGCTTCGTGAAGGGTCGGTATTACCACATCCACGAGATACAGTCGGCAGGCTCCTGTCCCTCCGCGCGATGGCAGCATCGAATGGCGTTCTCTTTGCTCCCAGAGCTTCGCAATCAGCTCCTGCTGCAGCAAAGCCACAAGAACGGACAAGACTATACAAAGACTTCCTTACGCCAGCGCTCCATCGTCGCTTCACATCTTCCGCAGGCATCGTCCTCGCAGCTTGTTGGCTTGCATCAATCCTCATCGGCACCAACTCACATATCTTCTGGTCATGGTTTCCCATTGGGGCCGCTGGAGTGAGGGCCATCCTCCTTCTCATACCATGTATGGCTGTCTTTATTGTGCGAGTCGCAAACATGCATGTCGGGGAGCGCACAGCCAATGGGCCAGCACTGGCCGCACTTGCAGCAATCACACAGTCCAAGAGCTTGGGAAGCACGTTACACACTGTGGGCTGGTACATGTGGAGTGGGTGGTTCTTCGGAGAGGTATACATGTGGTCGAGTAAGCCAGAGGACAGCCTCGGAATGATCGACCTTGGGAGGACCTACGAAAGAGCCAGATTGAATGAGAATCCAATATTCTTGCGCTGTTTATTTGTGCTCCTTGGTCTGATCCAGGCGACCAGGCACTTGGCAGTGGACTACGACCAGATCGCGATACCGACATGGATTGACGATGCGGCATCGCAGAAGTCAGAGCAAGCTTCGTCTGGGAGTAACGCATCGGCATCTTTGCTGAGCAAATTGCCGCCGTCATTGCAGCTACTAGCAGGGCGATCGACAGGAATTGCACATCGGGCGTTGAAGCTGACGGTTGTTGGTATCCTGTTTGTCACACTGCCGGTCTACTTCTTGGTCTTGCGCCGGACTGCTTGGAGCTGGACGTACATGGTCGGACGCGCTTTCTACAGTCAACTTCCCCCTTCCGCACCACCGACTGGCTTGCTCAATTTCGGTCGGTTGGCATGGCAAGCATTCTTCGGCGCTTTCTTGCTTGCGCTTTTATGGGAATTCTCCAACGCGACTTTCGCAGTCTACGTCGCCCAGCCGCCGTTGAAGAAGGGACAACCTTTGACCAACGAGATTAAGGATGTGCGAGGGGTTCTGTTGCATCGAAGCAAGGACCCCAACGGAAGCCTGATTACCGGTCTCAAGAGCAAGAGGGAGGTGCCAAGAACTTTTGCGTTCTGGGAGTTATACATCATCTGCACGCAATTTGAAGTTCGGAGGAAAACAATCTTCATCGAGGTGGACCGCGCTGGAGGAAGCACATGGCGGCAGATCTGCGACCAGTGTCTGGCTGAGATTTCAAAGATCGGCCAAAGGATCAACAGTGTCGATGACTATGGTCGAAGAATTGTTTCAGCACCCAAAACACAAGAACTGGCCGATGATGCTAATGCTGCCTCCATCGGTCTCCCGAAAATTGCCAATCATGGCATACAAGACAGACCAGACATGTTCTTGAAGCCCAAGAAGGACCTCGCTCAGGCCGTGGGCACATTCGCAAAATCAATAGGTCAATCGCCGACGAGTCACAACCCCGTCGCCAGCATCCAACGCAGCGCCGACCAAATCCTCCCGAAAGAGCAGCGCCAACGAATCGTCCAGGATCAATTCGCCCAAGCCAACAGCTACGCGGTCAAATTCCTCCAGATGCCTGTCGGCGAGGCCTTCCGCCAGACTTTCGCATATAGAGCTTCCGCCGTGACTTTCGGCACGCCGCATAGCAACCGTGTCACGGTCATCTACGCCGTCCGTGCATTGACCAAATTGGCCGTGTGCTCTCTCACGGAAGCGCAATATGGCGGCGTCTCGAAGGATATCCCCGTCATCATCCGTACCCTCACTGCAGCGATCCGGTCGATGGAGAGGTTCACGCGGACGTTGAAGCCTGATTGGACCGATGTCCTCTTCTCGGAACGCGATCGTGAAGTTGCCGACATTCGCCAGGTTCTTGAGGTCATCAAAGCTGGTCTCGAGGAGATCGTGCTTGCGTTCGGAGAATATGCAGGTGAGCTGGGCTTGAGTAAGATGGAAGTCCGAGAGGCGAGAGAGGCTTCCACTCGAAAGGCTATCACCAGTGGTGGTGTTGCAGGTGCTGCAGAGACCAAACGACTGCCTTCAAATAGTGGAGAGCGAGTAGAGATGGTGCAACGAAGGAGAGGATAGGGTATGTACTATAGAAGAGCTCGGTACGAATTACGAAAAAGGGTGTCATTACTTTCCAAAGAGAAACTCCTCGATATCTGCCATCATTACATCCTAAACACGGGTATTACACCATTCACATCTTCTCGAGACTGCGACCAGCCTCGACCTCCTTGCGCCAAATCAACCGGTCGGTGCCAGTCTGGACACCGGGACCATCGTAGAAGCTACCATACTCATTGCCCGTAGCCCACTGGGCACCCTCACCCTCGCGGGACTTCTTGGTCGCCTTGCGACGGTACCACTTTCCGTAGATGAGGAGGTAGTACAACCGGAAGGCCAGAAAAGCGAACTTGTCGCGCTCGAGATCCGCAGGGTAATCGGCGCCGAGGTCCACAGCCGCGCTGATGCCGCTAATGCAGGCTGTCTCGTGGGCGTTGACAAGGGTCCATGATGAAGCGTAACGGGTGTGTCGTTTGCCTTGCAGGGTCCACATCCACGGGATCACTTTTAGGTAGTGGCTGTAGCTGTGGCAGAGCTGGTGCCACCAGTCCTTGCGGATGATTTTGCTCTCGTCGATTTCGTCGATGGTCCAGATTTTGCCGTCGCGCTCTTTGTTCAGGAAGATGGTCTGGAAGACGTGCTTCTCGAAGGGCACTTCTGGAGGAAATTGGGCTTGGTAGTTGGTGCAGTCGAAGCACATCTCTAATTTGGTCATGTCCTCCGGGTACATGCGGATCAGGTACATGGCTTTGAAGTTCTCCTTGGCGTAGTCACAACGGGTGCGCATGTCCTTACCGTTGAGGTGTTCGACAGCGAGGCTCTCATCGTAGAAATTCTCGTAGTGGCGCTTCATGTATTCGTGGTCTTGGTGAGTGACAGTGATGTCGTTGGCGAATTTGGCGCCTCCGAGCACGCGGGATTCGTTCCAGGTGATGGTCGGCTTGAGGATACGCTTGGCAGTGTCGGTGAGGACACAGAGAACAATCTCGTCGTACTCCTCAGTGTGTTCGACCGCATCGGCATCGGCCTTGGAGCCCTCGACATCATCTGGGACCCAAGCAGAGTTGGGATTGTGTCCATCCTCCACTGGTGTCCGCTTGATGATCTTCACCACAACTCCGCTCTTATCACGTTTGATGATTTGTGTAACTTCGGTCGAAAGGCGGACATTGACACCACGCTTTATGAGGTTGTTCTTCCATGTCGAGTAAAAGTCACTTAAGTTTGGGAAGACGACCATGGGTGGGATGTTTGAAGCAACACTCTGCTTGTCCGGGGGGTACCACATGCCGTAGGTAGGACTGGTGCAGAGACGCTCAAGCATCATCGAGGGAACTTCCTGAGTGTAGTTTCCAGTTCCGAGGAACAGGGCGACCATTGGTAAAGCGACAGTATTGGCAAACTCGGTGCTGAACCAAAACAGCTTAACCAATAGTCTAATCGGCAGCAATGCGAAGAAGACCTCGAGGGTGCGAACAATCTTGAGCATCCAGTAAAATCTCTTGACCTCGCTCTCATGCTTCTTCAATAGCTTTGTTGGGTAGACATTGCTCCAGAAGCTCTCGCCCTTGCCGAAGGAGACCTGAAGCTTCACTGGATCCGCCCAAAAACCATTGCGCGCAAACATGGTCAATGTGTGGTGGAAGATGTAGGAACCTCCCTGCACACCCTGGTTCAGCCATGAAGCACCCGTCTTCTCCTTGTCCAGAGGAATCGAATACGCCTGACCTCCGCAATAGTCGACGGCATCGACAATGGTGACATCAAACTTGTCGGGGTGCTCGGAGAGGTGGTGAGCGCAGGACATGCCAGCCGCACCAGCGCCCACGATCAACACGCGCTTGCGCTTCTGGCCCTCCATCTTTTGGCCCATTTCGAAAGGGTTCTGCGTGTTCTGGACGCTTGATTCGCCGTTGCTGCTCATGTGTAATACGAGGAGGAGATCCCCAGTAGCACGAATGACCAGAGAAGGTCAAAGTGCGTGCGAGGAGAGCGTCCAATGGAGGAGAGGGAAGAGGCAGAGGAGGATGTCTGAGAAGAGGAAGGAAATGATCGAGTGTTCCACTGTCTACCTTGATAACTAGCTCACCAGATCTCTACGCTCACACGTACAGTAGGTATGGTACGACAACCACGGCGGGCACAGACTCGACGATTTGAACCAGTTTCAGGCACGGCTATGAATGTGAAATATCGACGACGCGACAAATTGTCATGATCGGATGAATTCTCGAGGACAGTGTCGTCATAGAACCGTTCATCGCGGGCTAGTGCGTCGCCAAACTTTGCGGCGGGCGGACAACGCCAGCCACGGGCATGAGATCTTGAGAAATCGTGAGATCCATGCGTTCGTGATTATCACTAGGTGCCTAGTCAGAATTATTATAGGTTTATCCGATCGATCGGATCGGACTATCCTCCACTTTCACGGCCACTATTACATGTACATGGTCACTGTTATCGCGGTACTTGAACGACGCATCTCGTCCTACACGTCATCCGGGCTGCATAGACACAGCTTAGCTAATAAGTGAATCCATGGAGTCGCATCATGAATGAACGAATACGTGCACTCCAAAAGAGAAGCAGGATGCATTAATCGTATTGAGGACTGAACGATCAGACACATATTCTCATCACAATGATGCACGTCTGGTGATGACTCTTGCTCGTACCGCCGCCCAGTGAAACTCCTAGTAGACATGCCTCAGTACAGTACACATCTCCATGTCCACTCCTAATCAAACGCCAAGCACAGCATCGCCCATCACTCCTCATAAACTCAATCGTCGCTCCTGAAAGATCCAACATCGCTCCTCGTAGGCTGACCTTCGACTGCGGCAACCGGTTCACCTTCTTCCAAATCGATCAGCCCATCCCGATCAATGTAGCAAATCCGCATTCCACCATTCAACCACGCAATCCTGCACAGCTCCGATTTTCTCATCCAGCACAGATCCTTCAGCAACGTCCTCGAACCCGGCATCCCTGATGATTCGAGAATGCTGAAAATCCCGGTCCTGGCGTCGACGTACAGTCCCGGCTTGTGGAGGTCGTTTGGGCAGGGTATGGCTTTGAATGCGCCGGATGGGAAATTCGCTTTGTAGAGATCTAGGAGCGCTTCTGTTGATCGTTCGTCGCTCGTCGCTGTTAGTCCCCCAATTCATCACCTCAAAATTCCAGTCTTGCTTGCAGGGGATTTGGCCTTACGTTTTATCAGATCGTCTGAGGACAGCACTCTCATCACGCCTGAGACGTAGCTGTACACAAGGACATAAGTGCCATACTGTTGCCGCTCCTCCGGCGTGAGTGATGCTTGTAACTCCAGGTCTTTAGCGTTCCAGTTGATAATTGATGCTTGAGCGAGTTGGCGCGTCGCCATCGCGACGAAATATTGGGAGTGTGCTGTATGCGGGGCTTGGATTTGCCATTCCAAGATTGTTGTGATCCTTTCTTCTATATATGTATATATGTTACCTCTTTGGAATGCGTTTTCATTTTCCCGCACTACTCAACCATTCCGTTCGCAAGGTGTCATTGGGTTATTTTGGGTACTGTGCTACAATCTCCCACATGCAGTAGGTGTTTTAATGCCTGTGTGTAACATACAAGATCTGTTGAGCCACTTTTATACATTGTGGATCCCGTCTGGTTATTGAGCTTGTGTTGAGTGACAAAGTCCTGTCGGAATGCAACATTGCGGCTAACGCCGCGATTGTTTCCCGTTGAAATGAATGGGTCGACAATCGTTTCCTCGGCGTAGGCTGACCTCCTCGTCGTGGAAGAAAGGCGAGCGAAGTGTGTGTGTGCGGCAGCAAGGAAGCAAGCAAGAGCAAAGCTTTGTTCGTCATTGCCTCAATCGAGAGTGTTTCGCTCTTCGGTTTGCTCGAGCTCAATAGGCTCAGGCGAGAGGTCAGGGCACGGGAACAAAGCTCAGTTGCTGCTCCTGGTTTGCGAAATGTCATCAGTCATGGACAAATGCAGTGACAAGCGACCAGCATGGTAGCCAGACCGTGCATGAATGTCGGCGCGCTCAGTCACTCATCGAGCTCCCTCATCGGCTCAGGCTTGGGACAGTGAAGCCTTTCATTCGATGACGGCAATCTTGTCGGCGGTTTCTTGGTGGAAGGGGTCTTTACCCTCAGCATCCAAAAGCGAGATCTTGTTCCCTCCCTCGGGCTCTAAACTCCACTCCGTCGTCTCAAACTGCATCAAAAGGCGTGGTCAGCAACAAATCTTCCGTTATAGAAGTTCATACACCAATCAAGGTATATGCAGGCAACTCACAAATCCCATCCTCGTCTTCCGCACGCTCTTGAACTTCATCAATCCCTTCCCCTTGGTGCCCTTCACCCAAAAGCTGATATCAATCCTTCCATGTAACTGATTCAACTCCCCCGAGATCCATGGAATCTGACTAGCAAAGTAAATCTCATCTCCCAGAATCCTCCTGGCATCCGGGTTAGTCCGCAGCGCATACAGCGTGCTGTTGACCACAGAGCTGCTCGTCTTCTGGTAGTTGAAGATCGCCAGCGCCGACGCGACCATGATGGCCGCGAATACGGGCAACGTCCGGAGCCATCGGTAGTTGCCCGTGGAGATCTCGGGCAGCGCGCGGTCGGAGCGACGTTCCATCAGCGGGCCTGAACCCGGTTTGGGTGCGGCGATGATCGTTCGGCGCTGCAGGGCATGACGGAGGATCTGTGGAGGCTGACGTGTGGCGCCGAGGCGAGTGCGTAGTCCAGGTAGCATGATGGACCTGGGCGTGATGATGATGATAATGATGGTGGTGGTGGAGGTGGAGGTGGAGTATTGCCTTCAACGGAAGGATGATCGTCCGCTGGTGCTGCTGTTGTCAGGTCCAGCTGTGTGGCTGTTCGATTCGGGGATCGACTTTCGGAGATGCTGCGACTATGATCCAGCTTCGCCGAAAATGACCGCGCTAAGCCAGATGAGATCGTCACGACCCTGCAGCTGAACCCGCAAAATTCCACGAATATCGTCGCTCTCTCGTTCGTCCACCCACGTCACTGGCTCCACGGACTACTACTGCAGCATTATCTTGGCCCAATCGTCGGGTCTACAGACGACCGAGGCTTCGTCTACATCATAGTATTAGCGGAAGAGCACATGTAAATCGGCCGCGGTGATGATGCAACGAGGACAGGGTAGCTTTCGTTCCAAATATTATAATTTTTTGATCTTCGTAAGGTAATTAAAAATGATGTCTGTGGCAGTGGCCGGGATCCACGCTTAAGAAAAATCCCACGACCCCTGCGCTCGCTTTTTTCGGTGAGCGATGTCACATCTCGTGCTGCCCTTCGCTAAACATGCATGCAGATCGCCCAAACAAACTTCCTCCCGCCCAATGATCCTCACCAGCTATCGCTGTCGCTTTTCGTGAGCCCCGTCACTGCCCAATATGCACATGTGAAAAATTCGCTGGTACCGCCCAATGTTGGTAATAATAATTCATACAATTCGTAGTTTGAGATGATGGTGCTGTCACCCAATCATGTCAATCATGTTTTCATCATCGATGATGATGGTGGTGAGACCCTGGTCTTGGATGATGGTAACCTTGCCGGGTTCCAATGACTTAGATCGATGTAGGGACAGCGATGCTGTCCTGTCTGCAAGAGGTGAGGTGTCGGTAGATGTCATGAGCGGCCTGAGGCGTGCCGCTGCTATGACCTCTGCGTGGTGACGACGAGAAGAGTCGCAGCGCATATGAGGTCGGCGTAAGAGATGATCACGGTCGTGTTCGGACATTTCGATTGCTGGAATTGACTTCCAATCGACCAGGGCGTTTTCAAAGACGTCCCGTTTCCATGCGCGACGCTGGCTGGAGAGTTTTGATCTTTGTGACTCTGCATCGTGATCATAAGGAGGTGTGGGCATTAGGAGGGCCTCGTATGCCTGAGAAGATGGACGACCCGGTTGAGGTGGCGTGGAGTCATAGCTGGACATCGAGTCATAGCTGGATGTCGAGCTTGTTGAACCCGCACGAGCACATTCGTCATTAGAGTCAGACGATGAAGACGACATGGTTGAGTTGTTGTCGAACATATCGATCCACAGCTAGGCAGAGTATATATGCCAGAGACGAGAGGAGCGTGTATGTCGATCTATCGGGAACCAAGACAGGCACACATGCGGCTGAGCTCACATGGGCATCCCAGGCCTGCCCTGCGGCTGCAGGGCATGATATATGCCGATGCAAAAGGGTCTCCAATTTCCAAGAAGGACGCATGATGGACGGTGATCTCCGCGAGTCGGTCTCCGATTGTGGGGTGAGAAACTAGTCCCGAATCCGTTCCACCCGAAAGTGCGACATGCACACAATTTTGGTGGTGGGAAGTGGAACCGAAACGGTGACGTCTCACTTGGTGGCTGACGAGATCCGGTCGAATCTTTGGCATTTCTTCTCGCAGTCGGCTGCACGTTCCCGTGCAACCTCGTCAGCGGAGATGAAGTCGTCGGTATCGTCAGTGGGAAAGACGTCGAAATTTCGCCAATCCCGGGTGCCTCGAGTCTCCTTCATGGAAGACACGATGTTGCTGTAAGTCTTCGGCTGTGATAATCGGAGGCATCTGCTAGGACGAGGTTCCGGAGGCACAGGCATCATCATGGCCTCAATGATAGGACTTGAGCCTCGGCAAGGAGGGAGCCTGGCAATGCTGGCGTTGGAGCTGGTACGTGATGAAATCGAGAGATCGGTTCCTTGACGGCGAATGCCACGCTTGATAGTTCCAGAGCTGACTCGACGAGGAGCCTCTTCGAGAGTGAGTTCATGGTCAGAGACCCGGCGAAAGCAGTTGAATTTCATCGTAGAGATCGCGAAGAACACGAAGTTAGAGTGATACAATCGTTGGCTGAGGAAATTGGGAAGCAGGCGGAAAGTCGATCAAACGGTAACCGATGTATGTCCGCGATTGGGTTGTGTGTCGAAGAAAAGTCGATTCCGGCTAATACAAATCCAGCTGTTTGTGCGTAGATTGAGCTCGTCCACAGATGGTTTTGGTCTGCTGGTCCATGTCGTTGAAGTGAAGGATTGAATTGAGAGACCGAAAGAGAGGGCGGAGGTGGGCTGTCGAGGCGAGGTGAAGCTATTCATATGAACGGGACGAGGGCCCGCATGACAGAATCGAAACCTGGGGGCGCCAGAGAGTGTAGCCAGGCACGATGGGGTTGAATGGAATGGATGGGACGGTGGCAGTACGAACTGCGGTGGGCGTGGAACAGCAGTTTCGGCTGGAGAGGGTAGGCTGGCGGCAGCACAGTACGCACCCACCACACCACACCACACCAAAGTGGTCGCGCGCGCGCACACAGACTTATTCCAGTACACACATCCACATCCCACCCCGGGCGCGCGATGGTGGAGGGATTGATGATGGATGGAATGCAAGTGAGTTCGCGCCTGCAGTGCGCAATGGGGGAAGCGTCAACTGGGCGATGGGGGGGGTCTGAGCTCGGATCGAACGGCAACCGTGGACTGACCCCAAGCCCGTCTAGTCGCAGGCGAAGCAGTCGAGAGCACTGGTGGAGAGGCGCCGTTTCTGGGCGCCGATTTGCTGAGAGGCCCATTCCGACAAGCATCACGCCGCCCGAGGCCCTCTCCAGGGCTATTACAGTGCTGTATTACCACAGTCTTTCCTATTGCCGTGCATCGATTCTCACCTGCATCGTCGGCCGATCAGGCAAAGCGTGGCCTTGGCTCCAAGAACCAAGCATTTCTGAGGTCGCAAATCAACTCTTGGCGGCGACTGCGGCCAAGTGGTAAATTGATTCTGTAACATGGCCGGGCGCTTTCTTCTACTGGTCGCTTCGGTCTACTGGACAATTTCGCTGCCATTGCCGTCCCATTCCCATTGTCCGTCGATGTGTGACGTTGTTATCAGGAGTAGTGTCTTGTCCTTGTCGCAGAAGAGTTTCCCCTGCTTGGCTGCGCGCGCGCCTTCACCACCCAGCTCAGACTTCTCTCTCATCATACTGTACACACACACCCCTCTAGAGTACGTGCGCTGGATGCTGGGCTGTGCTGTCCTTTCTTCTGCTGTTCTCGGCGCTTGGCTGTCTTGTACTGGATTGCACTGCACTGCAATGCACCGCCGGCCAGCGCCTCTTCCTTCCTTACATCATCATCACCATCATCGTCACCCAGTCCCCTTCTTGTTTTTGGGTGAAGCCCCGGAGGGATTCTCCAACTGATCCCTCTCATCTTGAACCAGTGTCATCCCTTGTTCCGACAATATCCTGCCTTCCTTCTCTACCCATCAGGTAGGATGAGGGCATCTTGCATAGATACTGTGGACGAGTAAGGGCATCAAATCGCAGTCTCTTCAACTCTCCATCTCGTCGTACTCAGTGTGGGTCGGCGCTATTCAACTTTCCACAGGCCAGACCCTAGGCCACGCTACTTCTCCTCGGGCGTGATTTCGGCCCTTTACGGCTCCACTGCGCTTCTCTCAACAGCAGCACAAGTCCGGCGTGTATTTGTCCATTACCCACACAGAGATCGTTCAAACCCACCACCATCGTCTGGTCTGGATGCTTCTTCTTCGCCTCGTATTCGACATCTTCCGAGGACTGACGGAGATCCTCATTCATGCTTGATCACAACATCTCCAATTCCCTCCATAGCTGTTCGTAAATCGACTGCCCGACCGGCCCGAGTACACGCACGCCTACACCACAATGTCGAAGGAAAGCCATCCTTCAGCAGCCATCCCACGTTGCTGCAAGGAAGTCGCAACGAAAAGTACCACCGGAGGGTGCACACGTCCTGCAGCCCTGTGGCTGACCTCCAATGATGAACCAGTAAAATGACCGGAACATCTGCTGCGCTCCACACCGGGTGGCTTTTTTTTCTCATGCATTCGTCCCGTACTCACGTATTCACCACCCGCGAACGTTTCGATCATGGTTTATTGTTTTTTATTAGCACACCTTGAGCGAGCACACCTGCTAAACCCGCCTGACTTATTCTCCTTCACGCTAGTCTGGAATCATTGCAGACATGAAGTGAGAGAACTCGGGGGGATGGGGGTGTGTGAGTGAGTGTGCGTGTACGTATACATTCGTGATACCTGCGCGATGTCGACCTTCGCCTAGCTCAGGCTTGGTGTAGAGGCAAGGAGATTGGGATAGCTGCATGATTTGATTTACATGTTGATGATCCGGTATAACGATGATTGGGTGCGTCTCGAACAGCGTCTCAACGCGCCCAGGCAAAGACGATCCTCACCAAGGGAAATTACACGACGGTAGCGGGGCAAAGCGCCAAGGCACTCCAATCAATTCGCCCCGACTTGCCAAGTATCCGCCGAGAACGCTGGGCAGTCTGAAGAGGACAGTGCTTGCGCTGGGACTGCATAATATACTTTTCAATGATCGTCCGAAGGTAAAATCACGAAGTCAGCGTCATGATTTCGAACTTGCGGACGTGCTGAATACATCATGACCAAATGTGAGACCTGAGCATTGAATGACCCGCGCCTGATGGGAGAGAGAAAGAGACCCCACCACTTCAACCGAGCGCCATCGAATGAGCTTCCCTCAGGATTCTGGCTATGGAAAAATCGGCACGCTGAGCAGTAACACCACCATGCAGCAAGCTGACGATGGCCACCACCTCGAGCTGTTGTAACAGGTGTACGCGCCGCCCATTGCATTGGAAACACGGCTCGAGTAGAATATGTATCATCTCCGAGAGCTCTCGTCAGAGTCGGCCGCGCGCCACGAAAGCAACAGCGCGAAATACGGCCCGCGAATCAGACAGCGGCCAGCTTTGCTTTGTCATTTCTTCTTCTGCCGAATTGTGCACCTGCGTACTTCCAAATTAATTTCACGAAGTTTGGTTCGTCCGATATCGCACGTGAGAGAGGAAGATGGGACAAGGCCTACAGGAAGATGTTCTCGCGCGCGTATGCCTCGTGATCCGGGTCGTCGGTGATGTCCTCGACCAGCAAGACCTTCTTGACCGCCTTCATGAAATTCATGTCGGCACGTCTCCTGCGTTTGAAGCAGAAATAACACGTCGTCTCGGGCCCGATGAGGTCCTGCAGCGTCTGTTGCAGCCATGGGAAGGCGGGCTCCCAGTACACACAGTCGGCGGCGAGGATGATCGAAGGGAATTGCGGGACGGTTTCCGGCCGAGCTTTACCCCAATCGTAGACCGATGCAACCACGCGACCCTCCAATGCGTTCAGGCGAATATTCTGCTGCATGAGCGCCTGCATCGCCGTCTGATCCGTGATGTGGACCACGCTATCTGGCCTACATCCAATCGCCAGCGCGAGCCTGTGGGAAAAATGCCATTGTTCAGTATGGGCGGCACATAGGAATTGCTCGCGTGCTCGCCTACCCACACAGTCCACCTCCCGCTCCCAACTCCACACTGCGATTGATGATGCGGTCAGTTTCGTCAGTCGTGAATCCTTTTGCCTTTTCTCGGGCGTCATGCGAGTCGAAATGCGTATGCTGCAAAAGTGCCGCACCAGCAGCAACACATGGGGATGTCATCGCTCGCGTGGACCTTGTACTCACATGCCTGACGCTTCGTTCAGTTCATTCTGTTTCCGGCGGAGCATGTATTTGGCCAATATCATGCCCGCTGGCCAGGCCTGACCACCATTGCCTTCGCGTAAGTCCTCATGTAGCAACAATGGCGGGTCCAACAGGCCATCGAAGTTCAGGGAATTGGTCGTCGCTGCTTTGTGTGTAGGGGACTTCACCAAGTCTTCGGAGAGAGCGAGACCGTCGTCCAGTTCCTGGGCCTCCATGCTGTGCTGTCGTTGACGACCGAGCTCCAGTCGAAGGGATTCGTCTTGCACAAGAGAACGAGTCGTGTACCACAGCGACGAACCTCGGGAGCAATATTTTTCTCTCCGATGTGGGTTGTGTCTAGCTGGTGCTTGGTCGAAGCTTGACTTTGTCCAATTTCTGCAACTTGGAGGAGAAGGAACAGCACAAAGACATTTCAAGTCGACGTGTCTGCGGTCGATGCAGCTCCCAGCTGCAGAATCCGTGGGCGGCTTACAGTAGCTTGCTTGGGTGGAGCTCACGCTGCTGCAGACGGTGATTTTTATTTCATTGAACGATGCAGTGTCGCCAACGCTGCTCTAATGGAACGAACCCTTGCTGCGTGATAAATTTCTTTGTCCACCTGGGCACATCTTCGTCAATGCTGGCTACATTGCATACACTGCATATTACTCGTACACCGCGTAATCACTGCAGGATGGAGGACAAGTCCACAAGTAGTGCTTAGCAGAAGCTTTTGTAGAAATCGCTCTCTACACCGTAGCAAATCGCTCGCTCTTACTGTATGTGGACAGGGTAGTGCGACGGAGTGTTGGGCCGTTGTCGAGCGGCCAGCTTCGCCGACTTCAACTCATCGCATCGCAATGACGCACACACAGGTGCGGTGAGAGCTGCCAAGTAGACTTGGAGATCGAGACTCTTGCACCGTCCTGCGAATTTGCGACCGCTTCTGCTCCTCGAAACAGGCCTGCCAGATCAGCATCGGGGCCCAGTCTGCATGAACCTCGCACATGATACCTGCGTCCTTTCATCGACGAACAAGTGACAAGAAACCGACGTCGACTGTCTCCGGTAAGATCATGTGCTGATAGGCTATGCCACCCATCTAGCGTACCAAGATGACGACCTCGACAACTTCCCATCAATGGGTCCAGGAACAATGTGCTTAGCAGACCATTGTATGACTAGGGTTACACTTGGGGCTCGATTGCATGTACAAGAACACACCAAGTCGGATTGGCTGCTCCGATCCTCAAGACACAAGGAATTCGCTGTCAACAACCTTTCATCAGGGCGTCTCTCGTGCCTCCGTTGGCCTTGTGAACAGAGCGTGGCGCAAGACGTTGTCCGCTTGTCAATCAACCCTCGTTCAGTGCTGAGGTCGGTTTCCCACTTCGTCTTGACCAAACCCTAAGTCGGCATGGCTCCGGCTCCCGGACTCTCTACGTCAGGACGACGTCCGATCCACCAGAAAACCCATACCGAGACAAGACGTCTCATGATGCAACCGAATCAAACGATGCGCGTCAGGTAAATGCCGGTGGTTTCTCCCGTGTCTTTGGGACGCAGGGCCCAACAACAAGCAATGCATGCAGCAAAACACTTGCTCAGGAGCATGCAATGACGTCTCACGTCGAATTGGGATCCGGGCTCTGTCAACGCACATGCCTGCATCACGTGGATCGAGCGACACAGCTGACGCAAGGGCACAATCTATGCTTTGCATCAGCACGATCAGCTTCACAACGTATTCGTCAGCCACGAGATGTCGCACATCTCGCCGGTGTTCGAGACGATCTTCACCGTGGCAGGTACCTGGGCGAGGGAGAACAAGTCATGAGCCAATCGTAGGCGCTCGTCTCGAAGCGACGTCACTAGCGGCCGCTGCGAACCAGGAAACGCTGTGCAGATGTGAACAAGTCCACGACAACGTGCATCGTGCCATGCTTGCTATTCGTCTATTTTGGCGCACGCAGGCCTTGAATCTGAGCTACTCGCTGTGATGATTCGCAATCATCAGGCTTGCAGCGCTGGATCGCGTCCTCTGATGAGGCAGTACCCCCAGTGATATTCGTATTTCTTGCCGGCACATGATCGCAAGTGTGTAGCTGGACCACGGGCGGATGGTAATCACGATCATGGTCATGGTCACGGAATTCTGGCGGTATGAACGATCGGGATAAGCAGAAGACTCGATTTGACAGGCTCTCTTTGACGGGACGCTGGTCATTCCGGTCTCGTCTGGTACGCTAGAGAACCCGTTTTGACCCTAGAGCCATCGCGAAATAACACTGTCGGTCTACGGTTTGGCAGTGTTGATTATGGACACTGCGCAGGGCGAGTTGGAGCGACAACACAAATGCTCTCTTTCTGAGATAACCTTTGGAGGTTTGCAAAGATGGAAGCGGCGCAGATAGCAAGATCAAATGATATGCTGTTAGTTACCACCATCGTTGCTTTCAGAGCCCTGGAGAATTCCAATTGCGCCAAAGACGAAGACTGGTGATCCCCGTGATGATGAGCCGCCATGGAACCTTGATCAGCGTTGGTGGATTTTTACCCCTCGATGCCAGGTGCACCTGGGGCTGATGGATGAGTTGAGGTCGCCGCCGCCGCCCCTCGCTTTCCCTCTCTCCGTCTCCCCACACCGTATCATTATCATTACTCGTGCTTTTCACATGTAAGCCTGGAAGGATGCAGTCCCTCCCCTCCAAACAGCACAGGACTGACAGTAGATCCTTGCGCGCGCAGACAGTCACTCAATAACAAGTGATCGAGAGATGTCCTGTACCGTGAAAGCTTCGTGTTGCCAGTAGGAAATGTAAATCTATCTCTAGCTGCAGCAGCTATATAGTCAGCCAATGAATGTTTCCACCCACAGACGCCATACCCACATTGCTACTGCTGGACCTCAGCATCTGATGCAGGTGCTGCTGCTATCCTCTGCGAGCTCTCAACCGTATCCCGCCCATACATTTTTTGGCCTTCATCATCCGACGTGCTTTGTGTCTAAGGTCGGTCACTAGTGACAGTGTCCTGGACCCAGCTCGAATTTTTCTACTGCTGTCATAGCCAAGTGTTAATGCGCTACATCATTCGACTGTGCCACCGACAGTAGCTGCTCACCTCGTCGCTGGCGAAGGACATCTTCACAATTGTCTCAATGCTCAGGATTCGCAGCAAGCGCTGCCGCCTGTGAACTCACTTGCCGGCCGCCGCTTTGATTCGGAGCTCCGGGCATGCTGTGATACTGCGCTATCCTCACTCAAGAACAGCGACATCTTGTCTGGCCATATACCGGAAAGCATCTCCGCGGATTATTTCTACTGAGCTTCCAACATGTACGTGCTCACTATACCGCGCCTTTACTAACGCGCTGCTGATCACCGAGAACCACCCAGGAAGTTCGGAAAGCATATCCAGAAGCGGCAGCTTGACATTCCCGAATATGCGGCAAGCTTCGTAGACTACAAAGCGCTCAAAAAGGTACGTTCGTTCTTACAACAGATCCTGGCCAGGCGTCAGAGGACCGCAAACTGACCATCTGCCTGCAGCTCATCAAGAAGCTTAGTGCTACACCGGTGTTGAGCGCGAACCACCATGGCAGCGATGGCGAACCTCTCCAGGACCACCAAGCCTCGTTGCAAGCCAACAAAGCGACATTTTTCTTCCGACTCGAACGAGAATTAGAGAAGGTCAATACCTTCTATCTGCAGAAAGAGGCCGAGGTGGGTAATGATGTCGAACAAGCGATGTGGATACAATATTGATATCTCTATTAGCTGAAACTACGCTTGCGCACTCTCCTGGACAAGAAGAATGCTCTTCAGTCTCGCTCTTCTGGAGCGTCGAAACTGTCATCAAGCTATGTCACCCTTGACGAAGGATTCCGCCTCTTCAGCAGCGATTTGGACAAATTACAACAGTTCGTTGAGGTCAACCAGACCGCTTTCTCCAAGATTCTCAAAAAGGTCTTCAGTTTTCCCATTGCCCGTTTTTTGGTCTGAGCTGACATCTGGCAGTGGGACAAAACTTCGAAGGTGCTTCACATCGTCCATTCCTGCTAATTGCTATTGAAGCGCATGCTGATTGATCTTACAGTCGCGGACCAAAGAGCTTTACCTCTCGAGGGCAGTCGACGTGCAGCCTTGCTTCAACCGGGACGTGATTAGCGACCTTTCCGACCGGGCCACGACAGGCCTACTGGAGCTACAAGCATGGGCCGAGGGAGAGAAAATCACTTTCACACCCGCGGTCGAGTTGGCAAACAGAGCACAGCCTACAGGACAGGATGAAGAAGTGGAGAATCAAGTACTCCAGGCAATCAATGCTGGCAACGTGGGATTGGTGCGGGAATGGTCGAGCCGAGTAGCAGGTACCGAGGATTCTGCAGAACGAATCAGCCGCGTTTTCCTCAACACCGTCAACACCGCCGCGCCCACCGCTCAGACTCTGCTGTATGAGACGGGGTTGGTGGACTTCAATTACGCCGATCAGATTAACGAGCGCAACTGTATTCATGAGGCGGCTGTGAGCGGAAAACTGGATATTCTTCAAGCGGCTCTCGATAAGGGAGCGAACATTCGCGCCCCTGACGTGTACGGCCGACTGCCTTTGCATTATGCATGCATGCATGGGAGGATCGAAATGGTCAGGGTGCTCGTGGACGCCGCACCTGATACCGTCGACGCCAAAGACTTGGACAACTTCACGCCATTGATTCATAGTATCGTACATTCACAAGCGGCGAGCGCGCAGGCAATGTTGGAATATGGCGCGGTCGTCAACCCCACTGGCACGACAGACCACATACCCTTGAACCTTGCCTGCCAGCATGGCTCGGTTGCGATTGTCGAGCAGATCCTCCGGCATGGACCCGAGATGCTTCCGGATGCCGAGGGCCTATTGCCGCAGCATCTCGTTGCACGCTTTGGAGGCGACAATCAGATTCTGGTCATGCTGAAGAATTATGGAGTGAACATGGATCAGACCGACAAACTCTATCAATGGACTCCGATCTTCCATGCTGCTTCGGAAGGCCACATCCACAACGTTCGTCAGCTGTTGGAATTCAACGTCAACCCGGCAGCAATCGACGAGAAGGATCTTTCGGCTATGTACTACGCTGCGTGGGAAGGCCAGCTTGAATGCATGCAACTTATTGCGCATGCTTGTGCTCGGGCCGTCGAAGAATCGAACTCAAGGGCACAAATCGATTCCGCAGTGATCTCCGCAGATGTTCGGGCACCGCTGATTGGAGGCACCCCGGCAATCTCTATCCCGGATTCTGAGATCATCCCATCCCTCATACTGCCGCCCCCGATTATTCCACTCCGCCGGTATGGTCACAACTTCTTGGATACCACCAAGACTTTCATCCTGCTATCATTTGATAGCCTGGATAGTGATGCCATCGAGTTCTATGGTGATACAAAATACCCCGCGGCCCGTCTGACCATTTCATCGAAATCTTCCGATCTGATCCCACGAAATTTGCCGCTGCCAGTGCAGGATGACTACAAGAATATCTCGTTTCAAATCGAAAATCTGAGCACGTTCAGCATTGACTTTGATATTTACCCGACATTCGGCAGCAAAGTCATTGCTCGCGCTGCTGCATCGAGTCGTGTATTCACGGGAAAGAGCAGCAGCTCCGGCAAATGGCATTTGGAACTCTTCGATCCTCGACTCCGCACAATTGGACGTATCAGCTTCCGCTTCCAAGTAGTGACTCCCTTCCATGGAATTCCTCTAGAAATCACGCATTTTGCAACCTACTGGAAGGCGACCACGCAGTATGACGACCATCCGAGCAATCTCATCACTGGAAGCAGCTTGTCGGGTGACTTCTTACGACTATTCGTGCAAGTCACTCGAGATGGTGTGCCAGTCCTCTACAATGATTGGGCCCTTCCCAGCGGCAGAAATGATTTGGTCAGCAGGGTCACATATGCTGAGTTCGAATCGATCGGGCTCGCTGCTGGCGGAGGCCAGAAAGTGATCGAAGATCTCGTGAGATCCGGAATCCACCCGGACAATCTGGCGCACTCACACGTGCAAGTAGCACGCTCCTACACATCGCTGCAAAATGCTTTGGCTATCCTGCCGGCTGATCTCCATCTTGAGCTCCATGTCTGTTACCCAACTCGGGCCGAAGAAGACGCACGACAATTGGGACCTACCCAGAACATCAATTTCGTGGTTGATAGCATCCTCAAAGTGGTGTTCGACCACGCGCGCCACCTGAGGGAGAAGAAAGACAGTCCTTTGAGGAACTTCGTTTTCTCAAGTTACAACCCTGACGTGTGTACTGCACTCAATTGGAAACAACCTAATTGTAAGTTCATGTCGCAAACTTGATGCATCCATGAAGTCGCGCTGACCCAGATCTAGACCCCATTCTACTGTGTAACGAGCTCGGCGTTGCTTCCACAGTCGACGGTCAACCACAACCCACAGATGACATGGTCACGAGCTGCGGCCGCACCGACATGTCTATCAAAGAATCCGTGCGCATCGCACAGAGCAACAACTTCATGGGGCTGGTGTGCAGCTCGCGCTTACTCGACCTCGTGCCGGCATTGATTCCTTCAGTCAAGGAAGCCGGGCTGGTCCTCATCGCGGACTACAGTAAAGAGATGATTCGGAGACGGCCGATCAGTGTGCTCGATCTTCAGAGCGGCGTGGACGGACTTCTGATGAGCAACGCGGTGCTCAAGTTCAGAGATACAATTGATCAATAGACTGGTAGAAGTTTTGCAGGCTACCCGAAAAAAGTTTTTGTGATCCGTCGTTTCACGAGAGGAGGCTGTTTGTTTGGTACTCTGAGATACACATTCCTAAATAGTCCTTTGCCCAGGTGGCATAGCCGCTGCACTATATAAATATGAACTCGTGTGATGAATATCGATGGTTGGACTCGTCCGACCGATATTTCGATTTCGTGTCCGTTTTTCTATGTCAGGAAGAGCAGTCACCTCTTGAAAACCTGACTCAAGGATGTAAATCTAGTCGTATACAACGAGCGTGTCCACCACGCATCATCCCTGACTTCACTGTGTATCGCATATGTATGCGGCAACCGTATATCTCCGCTGGTCAACTCGACTGCGTGGCTCTTTCGACGTGGGCTGCGGAGTAGTCGAGGTTGTTGTTGATGTCGATGATATTCCCGGACTAGGGATCAATGGGTGAACATTTGTGCCGAATACTTCTGGTACCAGCCTCAGCATCGGCGTTAGACTTGGGTTAAGTGTACGCTTGAGGCACGTATGCTGCATCGAAGGCGCATGGCGTCTGTGGCGCGATACCTGCGTCTCTGCGAGCATTTCTTCTCCCTCGACAGGCTTCCGCACAAAGTTCAATGAATTGGCATACTCATCACTCATGCTCCTTTGAACTCATATCGAGCCTTGTGCAATTCTTCCATGTTAAGCGGTGCCAGCTGCTGCCGAGCAAACATGGTCAACGCGAATATGACGAGCGGGAGCGACTCTCGATATGCATTCTGATGTGCACCTTTCCACCAGCTCACCGCTGCAATCAGCTGCAGCAACACCACCAGCACGCTCTGAAACGCGATCATGTATTTCTCAATCGGCCCTTTATCAGCTTCCACTTTGTACATGGGTCGCTTGCCTTTGCCTTCGCGCCGTATCGGCATGAAATGGAGGATGTATGCCGTGCCGACCAGGCTGGTGAGGGCAAGGACGGCGAATAATCGCTCGCGAGCTGTCGCCGCCGCGAAGGCGAACGTGTAGAGGAAGAATAAGGCGCCTAGTGCAGGAATTGCGAGGAAGAGGCGCCGGTAGAGCTCGTTCTTTGCCGCGTCCTCTCGAGCAAGAGTCTCGATCAAGCGCTCTTGGTGCTCTTCGTCGAGTTCGGCAGGCTCGTCGGAGCCATCTTCGTCGCTTGGATAGCGGAAGGCGCTGCGTAGACGTGAGGCGGCAGGCATGTCGATTTGGGTTGAGCAGTATGCCACAAGAGATCACGAGCTGCGATGCGAAAAGATTACAGCCACAGCGATGAGATTACCGCGAAACGGGCTGGGTGGGAAATGATGCGTTGCACGAATCCGTTCAGCAGTGATGCCGGCCACCTTTACCGCAGATGAGGGTTATGATTTATCTGGTTCGTGTGATGATGAGACGAATCGGTATTATAGAGAGACTACAACAATGTCAATGCGATGCTCGGTGGTCGATCAACAACTACATGGACGCTGTTGAACGGACATTTCTATAATGTAGCTGAGCGTCGACGCCCTACTTGGGGATTGCCAGCCAGGGACGAGGCGCAGAACCAGCAGTAATAGCGATAGGAGTACCTATTACTCGGAGGATTTTTCAGTCAGGCAGTACACAATGGTTGATGACCTTGTCGGCACAACGTCGTTGCGGTACAGGGGAAGAGTGCTTGGAGAAGTGATGCCGAACGGCGCTGTGTGGTAGCGACAAAGCGCGCTAAACCCAAAAAAGGAACTCCGCACATTTGTCGACGCACATCTACTGTAGACATAGAGTCGGGTGAGTATACTTCTATTGATGGTCGTCCACGCCGCGGCCATTTCTTCATCCACCGCGCACCCAACATGCAGAAAGCCATTGAGAAAGTCGTGCGCCGCTCCAAAAATGACTTGCCGAACGTCCGCCGCGCCAAGATCAACGAGGTGAAGAAAAAGACCAAGATCCAATCGAAGTTGACCATGGAACTGCGCCGAAACCGCGAGGATTACGCCAGACAGATCACTGGTGTGTTCAAGGAGGCGCGAAAAGAGGCTCGAAAGAGCTTTAAAGAAGATTGGGAGTTGGGCCCGCTAGCACCACGTCGCGATGCGGGTGACCGCTTGAACACCTACGGTGCCATTGATCCCATTGCATACCGACTTCCTGAAGTCAAGGAGGAGGGTTGGACAAAGTGGTTTCCCATTGCAGAGGGTGACCGCGTCGTTGTGATGAGGGGGCGGGAGAAGGGCAAGATCGGGGTTGTCTCGGACGACTTCGACGAGACCAGGGAGTCTGTGACAGTGTCAGGACTCAATCGCCATTACGTTGCTCTCCCCCACAATATGCGGGAAACGAACAAACAGGATATTGCTCCCTTTGAGCGGGCTTTTCACATCGACGACCTCCGACTAGTGTTTCCTCTGCCCGACCCTATCACCGGCAAAATTCGAGACACAATCATCGACAAGCTCATCCACGTCCCCATCGTCCCCGAGGGGGGAAACCTCAAAAGAAGATATGCAGTATCTAAGGGCTCTTTAGCTCACAGAGCCGCTTTTGATCTGTGGAAGCGCGAACAAGAAAGAGGTCTACGATTGATCCCAGGCACACATACCGTTATTCCCTGGGTCGAGAAAGCTGCGGCCCCGCCCGAGTTCCACGCAGATAACGACACTCCTAATAAACTGCGCGATCAAGTCACTTTCGAGCCCTCATTGATCCACGCTCCTATGCCGTTGAAAGTGATCGATGAGCTGCGCAACAAATACAGCAAATTCCGAGCCCGACCCGAGTATGCGGCCAAATTGGCTGCGATAGAGGCCAAGAAGGAGGCCCGCGAGGCCCGTGCGATTGCAATGATGACCACACCACGACAAGCCCTTGCGGCACTGAACGCGGCGAAGAGCGCAGAGGCCGCTCCATCCCGGGAGTTGAACGAGGCACAGCTGGCCAAGATTGGTGAATTGATGGTACAGGCGCGGCAGAGGATATCATCCGAAGCGCGATCGTAATGTGTGGGTAGAGCAAGGCGCGGAGTTGTATGTAGAGCTTTTGGATTCTGTGCTATAGCATCACTGGGAGGATGCCACCAAAAAACCCACCTTCAGGGCCATGTATGAATACCTACTTTTCGATTGTAGAATTAGTGATGAATTGTTCACTTCGTTCAGATTACCATCAAACCTCATTTTCCGTGTTCGCCTCTCAGCTACGATACTCGATGAGATTTGACGAGTCCTTCTGATTTTTCTTCAAGCAGGTGGATTGGGTTGTTGTCTAGGCCGTATTGGTTGCCGGCAGATGATGATAGCTAGCTACATTCCTATTCCCGGCCCTTCTGCAATTTTACGTAGTTTTGATCACAGTTTGACTGCGAACGATGCGAGCGTCTTGTTTGCAATGTCGATCACAACAACGGACTCTGATTCCACGCCACATTGTTGGTCATCGGCGGCTGCCAGATCATCTGTGAAGAGCATTTCTTGATAGATCGAACAGTCGTGGATGAATAGATACAGGCATATATATGAATTCGTTCATGTGCACATGAGAAAAGGATCTCGTAAACCGAAGGACGCCGATGCTCGCCTGCCTGAGCTTTCGAATCCATAGCCAGTTCATGACTCCTGCGGATGCATCGCCTCAGAGTCCCGTGTCCGCGTCATTTTCGTATCCTCTCTCCCAATCGAGGATTCCCTTAGCAGGATCGACACTCGACGGCTCTGACCTTCCCAGCCATATTCCATTCTTCTGCTTCATTCCCCGCATCTATCCCCGAAACCCAAGGCCAGGTTCTTATTTGTTCTCGCCGAAAGTAAATCTGAGGACAAAGTTGACCACGACAGCACCGAGCAGAGCCACGGACAAAACGGTGGGACCAAAGCGATCGTCGAAGCCACCTTGGCCACGCTGGCGAATGCTCTTCGCACGCCAGTGGAAAGTGGTGAGGGCGTAGATCATGCTGAGGACAGCAATGACGGTGAAGATGCCAGCGCAGATCACGCCGACGCGGTCACCGAAGTTCAGCAGGCCCATGGCCAGACCGCCGAGAATGACTGTGAAGTTCAACCAGCTGAGGAAGGTACGCTCATTGGCGAAGAAGACCTTGGGCTCGACACGGGTGGGGAGGGCGATGCGCTTGCCTGGAGCGGAGAACGATTGATTAGCATTGTGAGAGGACTTCTTGGAATTGCACTGAAGACTGTATGGTGAAGTGCTTTGCGAGACCGTCCCCAGCATTGGGTCGCTTGGCATAGGCGCGACCAGTTCTGGCAGACTTTTCGCAAGTTCTCTGCTGCGTTCAGAAGCTTACCTGGAGCGGTGGAAAGGAGCGGCTGGCTCGACATGGTTGCGAGTGTTTTGAATGTGAACGAAGCGCAAAGGCTCTCTGGCGTCTGACGTATGCAGCTCCCGAAATACGGACGAGGCGAGTTTGCTGTGGGTGTCACCGCGGAGATGTGACTCGGTCGACAAGTCTGGCGCCTGTGTGTGGGAATGTATGGGCGAGACACTGGTGATGTAGAGGAGAAAGGAAACGTGGAAAGTGAAGCACGGAAGGAAGGATATCACGATTGAGAATAGATTGGACCCGACCACGACGGCAGCCGGTGTGGCAGAACCGTGGGCGAAAGAAGCAAAGTTGGGTTGCCGGTTCGCGAAGGGTTCGTGCCGATCTTGCTTCCACTTCCACCCGATTGTTGTCATCTACGGTATCATCGATGCCATATGATATCTGTCCCGAGACGTTTGCTTGTCATTTCCATCTCATATACATATATCTATTCGCTTTCCTGGAGGAGGAGATACCATGATCGCTATGGAGAGATTGCTATTTCGTGGAAGCTGCGGGTGCAGCTCCGCTGGTCGAGCATCACCATTTTCGGACCGCCGCTACCACACTGGGGGTTCTAGAGCTCTCTCCCGCGTGATGACAATACAAACGATCGTCCTGCCATTGGCATCTGCCCGTCCATCGTTTGCCATCCGTCTTTGTCGCGACGACAGAACATATGCCCGAACATCATCTCAATGGTCTTGGTCGGCGTGCAACCCGGCAGTGGTGGAGTGGATCTCACCGGGATGTTGGCGCCTCAAAACTCGAAGGAATGCTGCTGGGTTTTGATGCGATGTCGAAGATGTCGAAACAAGACAGCCACAATGCAAGTAATCTGTCTCGAGAAATGCTTCTCTCGAGTGGCATACCATGCTTTGATAACCGTGGAAGACGACGTCTTGGGCAGTGCGTTCTGGATTTCTCGGTTCGACATGACCTCCACCAGCATTGGTGCATATGTACAAACAACCATCCCACCTCTGATGATATCCATGGATTATTGTTAAACAAAGAACTCCAGGGCTAGGCTCTTCAGCTCGAATGACGCTCCCCATGAGCTCCATTGACGCCCTGTGATTGGACCTTGGGCTCACACGCGAATGCAGGTTGTGCGGCTGTCCCCCCACATTTGACCAGCCCCCAATGCCCACATCCACTACAGTCTCTCGCCTAGATGGACGCACTCAGTGCGCCTTGTCTCTTCATGTATTGTACAAGGAGCACAGAGCAGCGCGATGCGCCCTCGAATGGTGCTCAGGCTTAGCACCACCTTACACCATTGTGGGCAGACTGCGTCCTCCCGAGGTGTGCATGGCCCGGTGATGTGCATATGCTCGCTCCCATTATCCAGTTGCAGACGCCGTCGTCATGTTCTTTGACACAGCATGAGTCTCACGACACCAGTGTGCATGTGCATTGCGACGGGGATTGACCAAAGTCTGGGCATGGAAGCAGTGGCAGCCGCCGGCAGTAGCCAGCGCATGTGGCAGCGTCCGTGGACGATGAAGGGCCTTGCAATCCCACAGCACCTCAACAGAGCTGCGATGAAAGCGCCAAAGGAACTGCTCATGCGTTATGTTATGCACGCGCGCGCAACACTGAGTCGTCATGTTCGAAGTGGATCGTGGTGGTCGTTTTCATTTCTCACGTAACCTAGCCATTTGTGGTGTAGCAGCAGATCGACAAAGCCTGCAGTGCGGTGCAGTGCGCCTGAGCCCCGAGTAATGATACCTAGGCGTGCTGGGTATGTAATCAAAGATACTGGATCCACCTGGGCAGACATCATGTTGTTGTCGTGCCGAGTGCTGCGGAGTCCGCCCGCCGAATACGACTTTGATCCGCAACCTTGGAACCCAGCATTCTGTTTTCGCCGACGCTTGGAAATCCTCACCGGTCGGCCGTCCCATCTCTCATGCAGTGACATTATCAGCATGATTTCGATTGTCGACCTCGTCGTCGCACTCTATCAGTTGCACATTTGTGTATGGTCGGCTGTCCGGCAAAGTCGTCATGCTCCGATGGGTATCGTTTTTGGTCGAAGGTCGCCACGTGCCCGCAACGTCATTGTCCACCTGCATGCAAGACACAAAATGTCATGTCACTCACTGCACAGGAGGTACAATACACTGTATCTACCGATGTGAAGACGTCTGCGTGCTTATTTTATTACAAGGGCGTACGTGTGTGTAGTAGAGTGTTAAATGGTCCAGGTGAAACCGGCCCAGGCTGCGTTTCGTCTGGCTACGCGCCGATGCCATCCATGATATATCTTGTTGTCTTCGGCGGACGCAAACACGCACACACGCACACAAACATACACACATACACCTACACACACACACACATATATATGCATACACACACATACACACGCACACACCCCTTCTCCAGGTCGTCACTGTGATTCCCTGTGTTCAATCCGACGAAAACCCATATTCCGCCATAGATCCATGTGAGACACACTCTGTGGAGTAATAAGAATTCGGATCGGAAAATGTAGGAGCCAAGTATGGAGATTAGTGATGGAAAAGGCGAATGGTAGCGTGTGCAGAGATGCAATGCCTAATTCCGAAGCCGCAATGTATGCAGGTGACTTTGCAGGGTGGCCGTCCGTGGCCGGCCGGTAAGTGGAGTACAGTGTTTTCGCGACGTCTCCATCTCTTTCATAATAAGAACTTGCCCAGGCGCTTTCTGTCTGCCTGCCCAAACACGACTACTTTTCCACGCTCTGAGACAAGCAGTATACATATCAGTGTACATATCCCCATCTGCCTGCCCTTGCCGCCCGTCAGTCTCTTCCCACTCACTTCGACTTCCATCTGCTCCAACACCCACCACCCAGGACCCGCATCCTCACCCACCTCACGCGCGATCGCATTTTCGAAGCCCGCACCCGTACAATCGCACTTCTTGGACGCCGACATATCGTCATAGTTTGCAATGGCTTCCAACTGCGTACGTTTATCCTGCCGAGAAATTTGATGAGACGAACGTCCGAGCCATTGCCCCCGAGTCGTTCTGCTGCATTCATGTGCCAGAGCGCTTGATCTTGCGCCATCACATCATCGCTATCTTCACAAGCGCAAATGGCTGACTGTCCCTTCTTTTCACAGCCTCTACCAACGACACGTCTGCGACAGATCGCTTCCGAAGCCTGTTCTACCGCACTAGGCCCCGCTACACTCTACGACCACAGCCAGACGGCGACATGGAACAACACCATCATCAATTCGGTTCTGAAACAGTTGATCAGTGAGGCAGCGACTGCGGCAGAAGACGGAGCCCCTCAATACAAGTGGATTGTCAACACTACCATCATCCAGCATCTCTCCGATCCTCGTATCGGCGGCACCGCCGAAGATGCTCCAAAGTCGAAAGTTGGTCGCCGGGGCATGCACAGCGCCAGCGGAGCGTTCTGGAACAACGAGCGCGACGGAATGTGGAGCTACAAGCACGAGGCAGCCGGCGGTGGCGAGGAGAAGCGCGGTATGGATGTGGTGGTCAGCATTATGTGGGTGGCTGTCTGAAGGATGAGCGGCTTGCGAGGCGCTCGAGCAAACAGACAGCCTCGAGTGCCTGCCTGAACTTGTCGAAATTCTTCGAAAGCCGCACCGCTGCTCCGGAAGCAAAAGAATGCGCAGCGTCGCAAGGTCGATTCACATATGCACCGTGTGCATCATGGAACGTTGACTGAGATTCTGGGCACGACAAGGCATTACTCACGACCTACGACAAAATGATCAGACGAGATTAACGACGACTGTTCGATGTACCATATCTGGAAGACATTCTACCGCTTTCAGCGCTGCATCTCCTCGGCTGCAACGAAACCCGTTTTTGGCGGTCGCTTGAAATGAGTCTGTGAACTCTCGCACCAAACGACACGACAGAGGTCCTTGCAGGTGCCGTTTTGACTGGATCTGTTCGAAAGACTGAAGAGGCGGTTCCTCGACGTGTTTCATTTGCTGTTGGGAAGACGGACTTTGCTTCCCTGCGCAAAGATAACGCATTTTGAGCATTACTTATGGACGGAGACGTATGGCAAGCTAATGGCTGCAGCACATGTACGAAGCGGTTGTAGGTGGCCGCCGCTCAGACCGAGAACAGAAAGGCCAAATAATTATCTAAAAAGCAACTAGTATCTATACCACTTGAAATTACTTAAATCGAATGATTTCACACAAGTAACACGATTGAAGATTATCTCAAAACTTTGTCTTGGATTTATGAAGTTGCAGCCGCATGGGTTTGCTACAGCATTGCGGTGAAAAAAAGTCACCCGCAATGCATCTCCGAGCAAAAGTATTGTTTCACCACCTGGGCAGGCTGCGAAAAACCCATCTGCCTCCGAAGACAATCAACTTAGATTAGCATCGCCCGACCAATGACAGCAGAGCAACCTGTGTCCTGGCCACCGCAAATATCTTTTCTCCAGAGTATCTCGCATCTCTGTTTAGTTGTACGATGTATGAACATATGCTCCATTACGCTCGAAGTTGAGCAGAAATCCTGCGGCTTCGCGAAACCTCGGGTTATTAGGAGCGCTGGCACGCTGAACTTCCGCAGTCTGCAATATCTCGGCGAAGAAAGCCTCAAGGATGCTTACTACGACATTCGCAGGCCGAAATTCGCTACACGATCTCTGGGTCCGCAACAGACAATATGTCGGCAAAGAACCTGCCTGGGAGGCGGAAATCCGCAAAGGTGGCACGTTCAACAACTCAATGTTCGAGGAACTTACCGACCCAGAATCCATCGCAAAACTTGTTTCGCGTGTTCCTGACCAAAACGAATCTGCCTCACGAGATTCCGGCCTGGTAAAAACAGCAATCATGGCGACAACACGCGAATCTTGGCTTGCGGATGACCGTTTCACCATTGTCCTCGACTCGATGGACTGCGGACATGAAGTTGGAGAAGCAGAGCTCGATGAACAACCGTGTTGAAGCTTTCATGAAGCGTTATCATTAGGCCTTTCGGCTGGTAATTCCGCAGGGTAAATTAATTGTTTGCTTCGAAGTACAGCAGTGATGGCACATAGCTTGCCATTTCCATATCGCGCGCCAAACCAGTAGCAGTTCCAAAACAAATTGTACCCTCTCTTCGAAAGACACGACATCTTTCGACAATACTTGATAGAAGCTGCCTTCTCTCTGCAGACTTTTGTATGAAATGCGTGTTCATGTCTTCCCCATTGCTGAGCATGGTCGAAAACGGGCTTCACAGCATCGGAACTGAGCCAGGCTTTTTGGCCGGCCTCGGCAAGAATCACAAGCTTATAATTCATCTTCTGAATAAAGGCTCTCAATCCTCTTGTTCTCAAAGCTCATCCGAACGGGTATTCGTGCAGTCTCCTATGGATGTGGGATCCAGCACCGGTTCCGAGATAAATCAGCGAGCTTTCAGACTTTCCTCAGCGGCGATTTGGGTCTCAAGCGTCAACTGCTGTAGCTGAATTCAGCGCGCCGTGCCAAAGCGATCTGTAAAAAGTCGCTTCGTACCTAGGTGTTTATGACCCGCCTCGGGACTTTTCTTGGATGATGGCGGTTGTTGGTTCTGCGGTGGTGATCCTGGATATGACCTTTTCCAACTCCAAGACGAGTGTTGTCTTTCCAGTGCATTGAGAACAGACAGTGAATATGTTTGCTGGAATTGCGTCGTTCCAGCGATCCTGGACGATGGCGAGGGCTTGTTTGATCGTAAGAAACAAATAGACTGTGACTGATTCAGGGGGTGGCGGCGCTAGCATAAGAAGACTTAGGCGCGTCTATAAGAAGGAGGATACAGGTGTGTCAAATTTCGTTCTTTACTTGAGGGACAAGCTGTGCAGATGGTGAAGCTCATTGTAGCCTTCATAAGGAGACGTTTTTTGTTATCGGTGTAGAGATAGGCTCTTTGGTAAAGTCAATGAAAAGCTGTGTCGTATATACTCGAGCCATTTGACTCTCATGCTTGGGATTGCCGATCCATTCACCACTCAAGAGACTGTGTTGCGCGTTGTTCGATACAGCTTTGAGTGTCTGCCCGCCAGTCGTAGACACCACCGCGCTCCTTGAAACTCTCCACATCCCAAAAGACACTCGCAAGCGCTTCTTGAACGCCAACTTCCAGGATCGGCTTCGATGGCAAGCGACCTGTACGGTCCAGGAAGCGCATGTACTCATCAGGAATCAGATATGAATTGGCCATGAGTCGATTTGGTTCGGGCATCAGCGACTTGTGGCTCTTGTGTTTGTCAATGAAGTGGTCGAATTTCTCGGACGAAATCGCGAATTTGGTTGCATCACGAAGTCTCTCGCTGGAATCATTTTCACCCTGCACGATGAGCATTTGGAAGCATTTCCAGCGACTTGGAGCCAGTTGCGAAACGTGTTGGTTCATGTCTTCGTCCCAGTTCAAATGGCATACGACGGTGTTGAGTTTGAATCTGACGCCATACTGGTCACACCAGCTCTTACTCGATGCAACTGCTGGACATTGTTGCCTGTGCCTCTCCCAATCTTTAGATTTGTTTCTTCGTCGAATGAATCACAAGAGATTGCGAGATTGTCGATGTTTCGGCCGTGGCGTTGGAGAAAAGACTCCTTCACTTTGCTGCCGTTGCTGACGATAGAGACTGACTCGACTCCGATTTCTTTGCAGTAATCCACAAGTCGGCCAAGAAACCTTGTGTACAAGAAAGTTTCTCCGCCAGCAAGATTGATTTTACGCATTCCGGCTTCTTTTAGCAGTTTGATTCCTCTCATGGCTTCGTCTATGGGCAAGATATGTGATGTGGTCGCAGTATGGAAGCAGAATCCGCACGCCATGTTGCATTGGCGAGTGAAATGATAGTTGACTGAGATTGGCGTTGTGTCATCGTCACGTTGTCGTTGAGCAGCCCAAGTTGAAGGTGCGAGAACGGTGCGTGTAAGGTTTGAGCAGAACAGCCGGCGTAAATATGTGGCCGAGCAGCAGAAGAGTAGCATCGATATGAGTGCGATGGGTGTGTAGAGCGACATTTTGAACGTAATCAGGAACGAAGATTCTAGAGGACGATGCGATGAGAAGCACGACATCATTCAATCTCAAATGCTTCGGGTCCTTTTGTATATGCAGTCAGCAGCTGAGGGAGGGGATTCAGTTGTCGAGGTCCTTCGGGATGGGGATTGTGACTCGTTTCACCAGATCTGCCTGGTGGAGATTAGGGATCATGAGTTCTTTGTTACAATTTCCCGGAGAGGAAGGAGGCATTCGCGGTGACTCATATGGTCACGTATGCATTCTAGAGCTATATCCTTTCACTGGAAATAGGTCCTCTGCTTACGCGTAGGAGAGTTCTGCATTCATCATCCTTCTACCTCAGCTTTTCAACACCTATATTCAAACACACCCAGATCGGTATTCGTCCGCCTGGTGTAGGCAGCCCACTGTCCGAGAACACAGCTGTAATGTATAAAATCCCCGTCCTTCTGGTTGCATTAAGATCTTGCCGCCCTGACTTGTAAAGCCTCACGATTGCGGGTTTTCAGCATGGCCAAAACGATAAATCCAGACCGAGACTGCTCGCGAATGCTTGTTTTCGTAATAGGTATAGAAGCAGAGTCTTCTGACAAATCTTCAGATGCTGATATAATACAGGAGCTCCAGGATCGGGAAAGGGCACGCTTTGTCGTAAGCTGTGTTCCGAATTTGGGTATCCACATCTCTCGGTCGGAGACTATCTGCGAAATATGGTTGCAAACTCGAGCAAGCTGCTTGAACAACATGTCATCGACCGCATTCGATCCGGCGAGCTTTTGTCTATCGAAGATCTTTTCCTTATTCTCTAAACCGCAGTAAGCCGGTTGAACATGGAAGGCAACCAGGTTGTGGTGGTTGATGGGTTCCCTCGCGATATCGAACAGGTGAACTTTCTCAGTGGTACGAACTTCCAACCCTATGTGGTGTTATTATTCGACTGTCCGGGCGATATCGCGAGGGATCGATATCTACACAGAGACATTGCCGGGCGCGACAAGAGTCCCGCCATTTTCGCGAGGAGATATGTAGAGTTCGTCCGACTGAACCAAGCTGTTCTAGAGGCGTTCAAGGAGGTGGGCGTTCTTCTTACAGTAAGTCTAAGACGAAATTGTGGATCTGTTATCTAATACAACGCTTCTAGGTGGATACCAGTAGAGAAACAGAAACTTCCTACAAGCATCTGTTGAAAGCATTACAGGAATCAAAGTACAATTTATGCTGATTCGAGAGGAGATGTACAGGGAGAGAGGGAAGAGATGTTCTTCTAGACGAGTAGACAAATGTCTTCTAGTCTTAGACCGTAACTTCGAGTCTCTATATATAAGTCTAGAAGATCGTTGACTGTCTAAAGTTTTCGTAGGATATAGCTAGCCTAACCCTTACTTCATATAGTTCTAGAGGCTATTCTCTCGGACATTACCCTATTAGATCTGTTTTATATGTGTATTTATCTGTTTATTTATTTATCAAGTACTATTCAAAAATAAGAAGACCCTATAGTATAGTAGAATATATAAACACCACAGGCTCGAGTACTGCTCTTGGTGTGAGCTATTCTATGTTTTATGTAGAGAAAACCCTTTTTCGATGCGAGAATACTACAAGAATTTTGCAGATCCTCAGATCGCGGCCAACTTCGGGTATGATTTTCTGCAACATCTCGTTATGAACGTCGTCTTATCTGATGAACTGATCAACTGCCGTCCCGACCATCCTCCTACCCGCCAAACAAGCAACCACGATCATCGGGACCCACTACGAGTGCATCCCATCGCGATTGCCCCAGGATGGATGATGCAGGCGGGCATGGTACACTCACCGCCAATGCGCGGCCGCGATGACAGTACCACGAGTCACTCGTTGTATCATTCTTCCTAACCCACTGTACCGTCCGTCGTGAGAGAGCTGCCGTGGTGCTCCATATCGGGTTGCCCCGGGCATCTACGCATTAAGACCACTTGTGCCATCGTGCATCTAATAAGAAGCATGCACCCCGACAACACCTACAGGTAGAGGAGCGACATGTGCCACCATCCACCTTCGAGATTCAAAGGCTGCAATTTTGGCGTTTAAGCGTCCTCGTGGCGACCTGCTGAAGCGACAGACGTGATGCTTTGAGCATCTTCGGCGCGCATCTACAAGACTCATACAAGAATTTCAGCTCACCTTGCCCGACCAGAGCCGGCGCAACAAGAGCAGCCATTCGTCAGCGCCCAAACGCTCCCCTGGACAAATCTCTCGGGTTGACGTTCGCGATCGAGAATAAGCCCTAGCAAGACAAGCCGTGTATATCGCACCTCTGCCGTCACCAAACGCAACAAACACCCTCCATCAACCTACAATCATGGCCGTCCACGTCTCCACGATCTTTACCACCGACTTGATGGCCCTTCTACGCCCTTCGCTCCTCCCATCCCATTCGCTCCTCCTCCTCTTCATAATCATACTCTACCTCTACCACCGCCACTTCGTCCACCACTCCTTCACCCTTCCTGCCAACACCCGCCTCGCTCCCTCCCCGCCCCGCCACTTCCTCCTCGGTCACGCGCCCTACCTCTCCTGCTCACGCCCCTACAAGCAATACCAGCAGTGGGCGCGCACTTACGGCCCCATTTATCGCATTTCGCCCGCCGGAGGTCGTCGCGGTGCCCCGGAGACTTTCATTGTCACGTCGGCAATCCTTGCCGACGAACTCCTGCGCAATCGCGGCGGGATCTATGCTTCACGGGAGACGGCGTCAGTCGCAACGCGGATTCTTTCAGGCGATGTTATGGGGGGAAACTTGCGACCTCGAACGACAGTCCCGGGTGCCCATCAGAACGGCAATGGTGACGAGGACGACGAAATGCGCCCCGCTGACTCCACGGATCTCCGCCCCTTCTCCTTCGTCCCCGGGCCTACCCTGCAGCAAGGCAGGAAATTAATGTACACCGTGTGTCGGGAGTCCGCCGCGAAAACGTACGAGCCCACACAGTTTCGCGAAGCCGTGGGGATGTTGGCGACGTTAATTCGCGAGCCGACTCAGTACGAGCAGTGGTTTGTGCGGTTTGCGAGTGGTGTCATACTGCGGGTGGGATATGGGCGGAGAATTCTATGGCCGAAGATGACGATCACCTCCAATGACGGACAAAACAGGGACGATAAGAAAGACGACCCGGCTCTCGCGCGCATCCTCGCCGTCAATCGCGAATTCGGGCTCCTCGGTAGCAGCGCTCGTGATAAATGGTCCCTCCGCTTGCTTGAAGCATTCCCGTTCCTCGTGCACCTGCCGTCTGCACTTCTCCCTGTGAAACGCACCCTGCTCAATCTGCACAGGATGGAACTCTCCTTGTACCGTGACTTACAATTCTCGATCCGCGCCCAACTCCTTACCTCCAGCGCCCCAGAATGCTGGGAACGCACCTACCTCGAACGCGCCCATACTTTCCCGGAGTTGACGTCCGACCAAGCCGCCTACGTCCTCGGCACAATGTTCGCAGCCGGTGCGCATACCGCAGCGGCAGGCATGTCGAAGTTTTTGTTCGCCATGGTCACGCATCCGTGGGAGTGGAGGGCGTTGCGCAAGGAGATGGACGCTGTTGTCGGAGGGGGAGGCGATAGGGAAGATGATAAGAGAAAGACGAGGATGCCGTGTTTTGACGATGTCCCCAATTTGCCGAGGCTGCGTGCTGCAGTTAAGGAGACGCTGAGGTGGAGGCCGTTGCCGCCGGATGGCGTACCACATAGGGTGACTGAGGATGACGTCGTCGTTATGGGGAATGTTCTGCGGTCGTCGTCTCCGACCGCAGGCGACCGAAAAGGTGCAGCGGAAGGGGAGAAAGCAGCAGCAGAACCCAGCATCTTTATTCCCTCCGGCTCTCTCATCCAGCCTATCGCCTGGGCCATCCACCGCGATCCCGCCGTGTACCCGCGAGGCAAGGAATTTTTGCCGGAGCGCTGGCTGGACGATCCGCGGGGCGAGTTCCCGCGCACACGGCTTCCGGAAGGGAGGTCCCTAAAGGAGTATCCGAATCTGAAGAATTTCTCGGTCTTTGGGTATGGGAGGAGGATTTGTCCGGGGTTTAATATTGTAGAGAGGAGTTTGGTAATTCAGGCTGCGTTGTTGGTTTGGGGGTGTGAGGTGAGAAGTTTGGAGGCAGAGGGCAGGGGTAAGGGGTTTGTAAGAGCAGGTAATAATGACGATGACGAGGACGATGATGAGGATGTGTTTCCGCCGTTCGAGCTCAAGGTTCGTGGGGAGCGGTATGCGGAGATTATCGCTCACGCAGCGGAAAAGGCAGAGAGGGAGGATCCATTAAAGTAATCTTGAAGTCTTCGGCGATTTCTATCTAGGGTGGTTTACTATATATATTTATCTTCGGTAAATATACTAAATACTATTTAGGTATAGAACACTTCTTAGCTCCTAAGTATATCTTTATTATAATTTACTAGTGCAGCTATAATAAGCGTAGGTTGAAATACTATATTTGTTAATATATTAATTATTTTATACGTCTCTCGAAATAATCTCCGTATTTATATACTCTATACTATTACTACTCGTACCTAGCTTCTCTAGTACTTTTATTATCTATACTAACTACTTTTGCTATTATTCTTACCTATAATATATCTTAGTATAAATATGTTTTAATTAGACTAGAGCTCTATATGTTAGTTAAGCTATATCCTATCCTATAAACTTATATATATATCCTTTAAGTTATGAATTTATTTTTACTGTTTTTATCTTATATATAAATCTAGAGCTATATGTTATATCTAGTCCTTTAGGATTAGATTTGTAGATTATATATTAGCTAGCTAGCTAGCTAAGTACTTCTACTTTTAATATTTTATTTCTCTTTTTTACTTAGTAATAGAGTATAAAGGGAATTAAGGAATAGGGGAATGTTTACTAAGTATAGAGACGGGAACTAATTATTTCTAAAGTTATAGGTATATATCCTAAGAGATTTCCTAGCTATTAATAGGCTTCTCTAAAGTGAATAAAGAAAGCTTTATAAAGGTAGAGATCTCGTAAATAATAATTAAGAGAATTCCTATCTTTTAGAGTACTTTAGTAACTTCTAGGATTTATTAAAAAAGCCTACACCTTATACTAAGTACTTATATTATCTAATACTTAGTATTACCTCCTAAATAGTAATTTCCTTCTCTCTAAAGCTGTCTACTTAAAATTCTTTTTTACTATAAAAAGCTCCTTATTTATTTATTATTAATATAGATCAATTTTGTTCTGTTTAGGGATATAAGACTATATAGGATATCTAGCCTATTTAGGACTAAATTCCTCCTAAATAAACACCTTTTATTTGTTTATATATTTATTTAGTTCTAATATTTTCGTACTAAAGAAGAGCTTATAACTAAATAGAATATTAAATAATTATAGAGATTCTAATAGCTTAATATATTTACTAAACTTATATATTTATATTAGGAGGTTCCTATATAAAGTATTACTTTTATAAAGCTATTAGCTATAAAAAAGCTTTAAGATATATTACTTTTTATTTAAAACTATACTACTTAGCTTAATTATAGTTTATTAAGTAAGCTATAATTTAAAGTATATAGATAGTACGTCCTAATCTAGCTAAGAGCTAGATAGCGTAGTATTACCTAGCTCTTAACTCTATTTATTATTATAGTATAATTAGTAGTACTAACGTAATCTATCACCGAGCGGGCCAAATCACCGAACGGGCCATTTTGTCTTGGCATTGTAAACAACATCTTTCCTGTTTATTGTATCAACAACGAGACATGTCATCAGATAATCAAGAAGGTAGAATCGATCTTGCTATCAATGCGTATAGATCTGGTCATTTTCGGAGCCAACGGAGCGCAGCTGCTGCTTTCAATATCAATCATCAGATACTCTCTAAGAGACTCAGAGGAACCAGATCTCGCGAGACTATGGCACCAAACTGTCAGAATCTGACGTCAACAGAAGAACAGACGCTTGAGCAATATATCCTTGACCTTGATTCGCGAGGATTTGCACCTGTACTCTCTGAGGTAGCAGATATGGCTAATAAACTTCTAGCTGTACGAGGGAAAGGGCCAGTCGGTAAATGCTGGCCTAACAGATTCGTCACGCGTTCGGAGAAGCTGAAGATAGCGTTCAGTCGAGCAAAGGATCGTTAGAGAGTCCTCCAAGAAGACCCGGACGTTATCAACGCGTGGTTGACGTTAGTAAT